GAAGAGAAAGGGGTAATGTAGAAGGTGGCAGGTTACTTCAAAAAGTTCGTGGGAAAAAAAAGGTGGAGGGCGAGGTCAAACAGGAGGAGAAAGAAAAGAAGGAGAAAATGAAAAAGAAATGGAGAAAGAGGAGGAGGAGAAGAAAAAACAGAGCAGGAGCAATTGGAGGCACATGAACAGGAAGAGAGGAGGAAGCAGGGGGGAAGCTTCTGAGCCAGGAGCCCAGTACTCCAGAGCTTCCTCTAGCTCCGGAAGGTTCCCAGCTCCTATAGCCAGGCAGCCACAGCGCTGGGATCAGGAGATCCCACTCCCCCCTGCCCCACTTCTGACCTCCCACCTCCTCACAGTACCCGTCCCACCCCACCCCAGCACCTGCTGTGAACGTTGCCTTGTTCATCCCCCATGGTCACGGTCACTGCCCGGACCTTGCTGAGGTCAAAGTTCATGTCATGCTGATGGTAGTCGGGGGTGACCCAGCCTACCCACACACAGCTGGGTTCCTGACCAGCGAAGACTCTCACGGAGTAATAGTACTGGAGACATGAAGGGGGGACCAACGGTCAGTCCAGAAAGACTGGAGACTGGAGATCTGGGTTCACTGGGACCCTAAGTTGATTTTCCTGGATTCTCAGGGTCCTCTGGGAGTTTAATAGTAAGTTGGTGGATCTGAGACACCTCCCCTCCTTCTCCCCAGGCTTATGTCTCTGTTTCTGTGTCTACTGACACATTTCTAGACTCACGAATCCCTTAGCAATATTTTGTGATACCCCACATTTGGGTCCCTCCCCAGGTTACAGCAAAATAATAAATAAATAATAGCTCACTAATAGTTCTAAGGTCTTTACAAAGACTAACTCACCTCATTCTCACAACCACTGTATCAGGTGGGCACAATTTTTATCCCCATTTTAGTAATGGGGAAACCATAGTGCTTCCATAGAAGGGAAGGAACGGAGCAGTGAAGTGACTTGCCTAAGTGGCACCTAGGTGGCCCGTGATCCTAACCACTAAGCTATCTGTCTTATAAAAGATTCCAGATTTGGGGAATCCCAAAACTATATTGTGATAATTGTGAATTTCTGTTCTCAGGAATATATTAGAGTTGTTGCTAAATTTGGGGTGTTGGGTTTTTATGGGGCAACCCAAATGTTGGGGTCCCTAGTCTGTGTTGGCTTATCCACTGGATTTTGGGATCCCTGGGAGTTATATCAGTGTGCCTCATAACTCCACTGTGCTCTCTGCCATTTTAAAGCCACTGGTTATATGGATTTAGGGGTTTGAAGGATTAAATCAATATGTGCTGTATTTTGTGAGTCTCTAGTATATATTAAGGTATCCCTGGGTATGGACAGTTTCTGGGGATTGCAGCACTAAATTTGGAATTTTGGAGTTCCCATGCTATGCTGGGGGATGCCCAAGGTTGAGGGTTCCTGGTTCACACCGTGGTGGTGTTGAGGATGATCTCAGGGTCATCTCGGTTGTCAGCGGGTACCACGTCATGAGGGAGGCGGGGCATAGCAGGGGTGGCTGGTGGCTGTGTCATCATGGCAGCCTTCTTGGCCTTGAATAAGAACCTGGTGGTGGGAGGAGAGCCTGCTATGAGAACCAGCTCCCAAGCCCAGCCCCCAGCCCTCCCACCACAACATTCATGCCCCCCCCCGATCCATCCTAACTATACCCACTTCCAACACGCACTCTAGAAGATAGGAATTCCCGGCTACCCAGCCTAATTTCATTCTGGAGGTGCTGTGCTCTGTGCTGTGGACACTGGGCCACCCAAATTTAAAGGTGCATTCTGGGAATATGAGGGGACCCGTTGGGACATACAATGTTCCCCCTAAATTGGCATTTCTCATATGGGTGCTAAATGCACTCGGGAAAAGAAAATTCTTCATTGTGTGGCACTGTCTTGTACGCTGCAAGGCATGTAGAATCCCTAGAGTCCCTCAGCAGCAGCACTGGCCCCCAAACTGCGATGACAAAAATGCTCCATCACTTCCAAACAGTCCCCAAGAGACACAGAA